TTTATATATATAAAAAATAAAATCTAAATTTGGCCACTAAAATTTTTATTGGTTGGGACTAGGTTGTCCGCACTGTACAAGCAGAACTTGGTTTGTGCTAAATAAGGGTCGTCTAAAGCGGAGCATAAATGACCAATCAAATTATAGAATTTTGATGATCGCCGACGAAGCAAAACAAGAAAAAAAAAGCGAAAAACTTGAATACAAAAATAGCAGTCTAAACCTACCTTGGGTAAGCTAAGTAAAAATGTCGGGAAGGCAATTATGCTTATATATAACTACCCTAACCATAATCCAAGATGACTATAACCCTAAAGTTAATTCGATAAAATATATATTATAAGAATCTACTCCTAGACGTCCCCCAGAATTAGATTGTTTTGAAAATATAGATCGGGATCTTCAATATTTTGGTCATTTTGATTGCATGTGACTTGAATTTTTTTTCGTCATGGCACATATGGGGCCTCCCAAAGCAAAAGAAGGAGATGGGTCAAAAAAATCTTTTTAAAAAAATTCAACATCTGGAAGAATTAGATTGATTATTCTAAAATTCAAAATCCGATTTTTTGGCCCATCCCCTCCTTTTGCTATGGGAGGTCCCATATAAAAAACGCCTATTACCTGAAGTAATAACAAAATTTTTTAAAGTTTTGGATGATGATATCTCGGCAACCTTCTAAGCAAATTCGATGAACATTTTTTTTGGTTTAATTCTAAGTATCTGTATAATTAAAAAAAAAGGTTCATCAAATTTTCATATGTGGTTGCCGAGATATCTTCGTTCTTTAAAAATTTTTATTATTGCTTCAGGTTAATAGGCGGTTTTCAAACTTTGAATGAAGATATCTCAGCAACCAACTAAGCAAATACGATGAATTTTTTTTGCTTTAACACTACATTTCTGTATAAGTAAACCAAAAAAAAAGTTCATCGAATTGCTTAGATGGTTGCCGCGATATCCTTGTTTAAAGTTTTAAAAAAATTCGATGTACGTAGGGTTACATAAACTTATTTAGTTGTTGTCAACTAACGCTAACAACTAATCGATTTTTCAACTTTCGATTTGTACTGCAACATTATTTATAATATAAACTTGAAAAACCAGTTCAACTTTGCTTTTATTGGTTATCTTTTGCATCATCAACGTAAATCCCTTTCTAAAGTCCCAATAACTTTTCTTGGAACCATTATAACCGAATCGGTGCAGGATTGAATATAATTTTTTTACGCTTGGGAAAAACACGATTACTAACGTAATTTTTTGAGGTAAAAGTTCCTCATACTATTATTTGTGAAAGTAAAGAAAAAGCATTAAAAATTATAAAAACCGATCCAGGATTAAAAAGTGATATGCCTAATTTTGCTGAATTATTTGGTTTTCGCAAATTAATTAATTCTATCGCTCATGAACTAGTCCAATTTCATTAACTCGTTCTTCCGTTGATGATTATATTAGATAATATGCATATTAATAAGTAACTGGCAAGATAGTTGGTCTGAAGGGGAATTTCAAAGCATAAATAAATCTTTTAACAAAATGGATAATGAATTTTTAACAAATATTATATTATACAACATAGTGTGAGGTTGCACGTTTGAGAGACTTTACCCTCTAGTTTTAATTAAATTATAATTCCAAATCTATTTTCGCTTACAATTTATATGTCTACTTTGGCTTGTTTTTCTCACAACAGTGACAATTAGTCTCATATTACAACAATTCTCATTTTATGCTACTTTATGTAGCGATGCACAATATATATATTTAAGAATTAGTGATTATTTAACGGAAGGATTTAAGACTTAATAGGATATCCATTTAGATGATATAGATTCAGTTCATTGTCTCGATAATATGATTCAAGAAACCTGATACAGACAATACTTGTAAACAAACAAATTAGAAAAACAATTTGGATTTATTTAAAATGTAAAGAAAAAAATTGACATTAAAGAGTTTAATTCTCAAATGATATTCTTAAATGACTGAAAATATTAATTAGCATATTTGAATAGAATTTTTTTGATATTTTGATTACAAAGGTCAGAAATCGCCATGTATTTGAAAATTAAATCTGAAAAATACTTTTATGGTGGATTAATTTAAAAAAAAAATTTAATTAATTATCATAAGAGAATTCGGACGAAATCTTTTCGCCGATAAACACTATTACAATTAAATAGCGCAAAATTCACTATAGTGGCGATAACTAATTAACCACTTCAAGTATGTACGTACGTACGTACGTGCTTTTTCCATCACTAAATTTCTCAATTTGTGAACACAATGCGTATAAGTGGATATGAAATCAAAATTATATTATTGATATATTGAGTAATTTCATTGTTAAAAAGCTTCTTTTTTTTTTTTTATAAACTTACAGTAGAAAGCCACATCACAAAAAAAAAAAAAACAGGTATATTTCATAGACGTTTTTGTTTCACTATTCATCTAACAAACCACAAAAACAATAATTAAAAAGTTAAGTGGTATGTTCCGGCAAGCCAGATTTGAACTAGCGACCTAGAGATATCAGCGTTGAGGTGTTCCTCACTACAGTCTCCCGCTCTACCAACTGAGCTATTGCCGGTATTTCTTGCATGTTTAATTTTTTTTCTTTGTTTGATCGTTTATTGATGGGTCATCATTACTCGATTTAACTTGCGATCGACATTACATCACGTATCAGTTATCTAGATGATACGTACACGTGACTCGAAAGGGCTTAGCTAATAAAACTCTTCATTATTACATTGCTTATTAGTAAATAGAATTTCTATCTTATAAAAATATATAGATATTAATATATGTTTTACATGTAATAAATATAGCTACCAATATTATTCCAATAGCGAACGTTTGAGGTCACAACCTACATACCAAGATTTTTTTGACAATTTGGGAAATATTCATCTTATTCCATTCCAAAGAATGCGAACCCAGTTTTTTATTTACGATCTTAATTAATTCTTTGTAGGCTAGTGTTCATAATAACAATCATGTTCAACGCAAATGCCGAGATTAAATTCTGATCCACTACAATCATCATCATTCACATAACCGCCACCAAAGCATGATCCAGTATTATGAATTATAAATTTCTCGTTCCGGATAATCTGGATTATGCTTCTGGAACTCTTGAATGCTATGTCGAATTGTCAAATAAATGTATGTATTCAGATTCACAAGGACGCCTAGTGCTTCGGATATTTATTAAAAAGATTGATAATCGGTTTAAAAGTTAGTATTAGATGATAAAATGAAATGAAAAACAGTTTTTAAATACGGGTAAATTATTGAAATATTATCAATAATTCCTCAAAATCATTCTAATTGAAAGGATTTAATTATGTGACCATCGGTTCATCCGATCCAATTCTAATCGGTCCTGGATCATCATGATCTAATCTGATCCTTTAAGAGATCGGTGGTCCTCGAACCAGGTTGGACCAGAAAGACAGATTTACAGGCCTAACTCAAGCTCATGAAATAGTTGCCGCTTAATTCCATTTTATTCTTGTTAATATAGTATTAATATATATACAGTACAAGTAATTAATTATTTATCTACACTAATTTAGCATGTGAGAATAAAGAACATTTATTAATTTAAGTATTTAAAGCTATTCGAATCATGTATTTGCAATTTAATTTTATTCTAAATAATATATATTACGCAAATATAAAGAATATTTATTAAAAAGTATTTATTATTATATTCGTATAAAGAAAATTTATTAGATATTTGTAAAGACCTGATTTGATGTGCAAACTTTAAAGTCAAAGAAATAAATAGTGTACTATACAACATACGCTAATGACCTCACAAGCTTGGTATTCTCTATTAAATAAGTTATTCTACTTATGAAGCGTTACTATTTACTCTCATTAATCAGTTAGTGAGCATAAAAAGTCATTTGTATTTCAATTTGAGTGCCGTATAAATAAAATAAAACTGTTTTAAGAAAATCAAAAAAGAATACTGATATGTAATCCAGATATAAAAATTGAGTATGAATAATAGATATAGAGAGAGATTGACGATTTTATACAAAGATTTCAACATAGGATTTTATGAAAATGAAATTTACGATAATTTGCAATTTCAGATTAACGTTTTACGGCACACATATTATCTAATTGACACTATTTGATAAATCATTAAAATTAAATAACGCGAATTGACACAAATAGTACAATAGGGCGTGTTTCCCTACTTCCACTTGTATACTGTAATTAAACTAATGAACGAAAGGTGCTATACGATAATAAAATATCTAAGAATAATTATGAGTATATACTAACTACGAACAAAATTTTTTACATGAAACCAAAATTATAATAGAAAAAGGTTTGCTGTTAGATGCTTCCTGGATGATAATTTATAAAATTTTGTTATTTAATTGGCTAATATTAAGATTTTAGACATAAACGCCATCTTATTGTATTGAGAATTATCAAAATTTAAACGTTGCTAATCATATTATTATTATATTAGTAATTTCTAAAATATTAAATTTAAAGGTTTATCTTTTTTAACTTATTTTTTTCACCACATAAGCATATTAAATTCATAAATTTTTTTTTAACTACAAATTCTTAAAACTACGCAAAACTAGTTTATTACATTTCAGCTAATTTTTTATAATAAATAAAAGCTTTATATTCATCTATCTCAACTCCATATCCATGAAAATAACAATAAGCAACTATTCTTATTGCTTCAGTATAATTCATATCAGCAGCTTTTTGATAATAGATAAATGCTTTATGTTCATTCACTTCAACTCCAATTCCGTTTTGATAACAATATCCAACAGTATATATTCCATGAGGAAGACCCATGTCTGCAGATTTTTGATAGTAACTAAATGCCTTATCTTCATCCTTTTCAACTCCAGTTCCGAATTCGTAACAGCAACCAACATTGAAAGTTCCAATAATATGTCCCATATCATCGGCTTTCTTATAATTAATAAATGCTATATTGTCATCTCTATTAACGCCAATTCCTATAGCATAACAAACACCAACACAATATATTCCTTCAGCAAATTCCATATCAGCAGACTTTTGATAATGAATAAATGCCTTATGTTCATTCTTTTCAATCCATTTACCAAAACGATAACACCTTGCAAGAACGATTTGAACAATAGGATCATTTTGATTATCTAAGCACCAATTGATAATATTATCGGGATTCTGATTCTTTTTTGCTAAAATTTTATCCCATGAGTTAATAACTAAATTAAAATTTGCACATTTTATACTTTCTTCATTATATCTATTATATAATTCTTTAACAATTTCGCTAAGAGAATTATCATCTTTTAAATTTAATTGGTTAAAATTGTCAATCATTTGGGCATATTCGTTTGATGAATTGATGGCCTTTTTTGGATTTTCAGCTGAATTATTTGACATTTTAAAACAAAGAAAAAGAAAATCTTTTATGAAAAGTATTATTGTTACATATATACGTAAAATTATTTGTAATACTGTGACATATTTGGCCACTTTGTGTAATATATGACTAAATGATATGCAGCATTGTAATTATTATAATTGGTTGAAAAATTGCTGATAACAACCATTTTTTCAAGTGTAAATGTCTTAGTATTGCACTTATAAAAGTTAATACGTAATAAACAAGATATTTTTAAATGCGTGCTATAGGAGGTTCTGTAAAATGTAAATTTTGAAATTTTTAATATCTAAACCATTTAAAGCTTATAATATATTTTTTTAAAAAAAGTTGTTAGTTTGGTGACTTGTATTTACGTTATACTTACGTAAAAATAATTTATCCCATACTTGGTTAATTACTGTAAAGGTATTTTATTTGTGTAATGTAACGAAATGTATATTCTTAATTTAAATTTCATACGTTGACTAAGCATGACTAAGGTGATACGTATGACATGTATTACAAATGAACGATTTGCAATATATTAGTAATAAAAAAAATGAAAAAAGATGGGTCTGAAACGAGACAAAGAGAAATACTGTACAAAGAAAAAAAAAACTATAGATCGCATTTGTAAAAAATTCTGAGCGAAGCAAATCAGAAGCGATTAACTAAAAAAAATGACAATGCCGTTTTTGATTAAAATGAGAATTAGATTTGTGAAGAGGTCGAGATTTTATAAAAAATTTAAGATAATCAACCTTGTTTATGCACTTTCATATACTTAAAACTAGTTACGAATTACATATTTAAATCATATATTGCAAAGTGCGTCACCGATGTCTAGGATGCACTAGGTCAAAATCAAAAAAAAATTACTGTTACAATATTAAATAATAAAAATAATAGAAGCAAATGTTTTTTAATGATTTAAATTATGACTGACACCTAAATTACAATGGCCTCAAATTTTAAGCTTGGATTGATTAATACAGAAAATAGGAATGAAATTTTTCT